GGGGGAGGGGAGGGGGGGCTAGGGCAGGAGAATTCTGACTTTGAGTCAGCAGGGGAAACATTCTTTCAAGCTAGAGTTTGCAAGTCACAACTAACTTGTTTTCCAAACAGGTTTTTGTAAATAACTGACAGGAGATGGGCTGCTTCTATCAAAGTATTAACCCAAGTGATGGGGGTTAATTATTAAACCTTCTAGCTGATGGCTTGCTTGTTTCTCTGCTATTCTAATCTGGGTCATAGAACGGCTAAGGCAGCTTTAAGTGGAGGGCAGGGTTTGTTTTATATTTTCCTTTCTCTGTTTGCCCTTAGCTTTCCACCATGAAACTGTGTTGTGGACTCTTTCTCCTGGTGGCTACTACTCATGTTGAACTCTGTGAATCAGGTATGTCACCTTGAAACTTAAAAATAGATTAAGTTCTCTGTTGTCTGATTGGCAAGTCTTTGACTTAAAGAACTAGTTATTTTTCTAAATTTGCAACTGAATGAAGGCTTGAAAGTTAAGCCTCTGTTCTATTAATTTGGATAAAATTATTAAAACATCTATGGTAACTGAATTTAACCTTTTGGGAATATTTGCGGCCAAGTATTTGTAGCTCTGTTTTCTGGTCACTCCACTTGCATTAAATATTATAATTTTGCAGGCTCTGTTTGGCACATTTTGCCATCACATGCTGCTCTTTCAAGTGTTCAGTAGCCACCTATGTCTGCCATATTGGACAGCACAGATACAGAACGTTCCATCATTCCAGATAGTTTCATTGGATGGCACTGTTCTGTATCATTAGCTTTAATTTTATACAACTGCCAGACCTTAGCATTGACCAAAACCATTCCCTCTGCAAGAAAATGCTTTTACAGTGAGCTTAGTATCAGGCCAGCTTGGGAGATAAAACAGTTAGTGGAGCATCTATGTGTTCATTTTTAAAACTTAGTTTCTAATAACACTGTGCTTTCTTTAGTAATGGGCCCTTCTTTATAATTATCTTAAGCTTGAATAAATTATTCCAAAGACCTCACTCTGATGTTTTATTAAATAATGGATTCAAATGGAAATTATTAATAAAATGGTTTTGCTTAAAGTATTTATGGTAGATATCCAAACTGATGGATAAATATATGCAACTAGTATGTGTTGCTGGATTTGTGAAGCCACATGTGAGATATAAAGATGTGTTCCTTTCAATTTCACACATTCATTGAGCACCTATTATGTGTCAAGTATATGCACAGCAGGCAGCTAAACTACTATGAACATTCCTGTCCCAAATATTCCCAAAAGGTTAAATGTAGTTCCTGTATGCTTTCTTTTCCTCGGATATTTACCAGGAGTGAAATTGCATATTTAGCTTTAGTAACTCTTTCCTTATCATCTTGTAAATTGTACATTTACATTCCTTTTATGCATGGAGACTATCTCTTTGAAATGTTTTGAATGCTCTAGCTTTCAATCCTTTAAAACTTACGCAAGATAAGTAGTTCCATTGGCAGGATACTTAATCTAGAACTATGTCAGTCCTGTTTTAATCTAAATCATTTGATGCTTTGGTTTTGTGAAGAAAAGTCAACTCCTACCCAACACCAGTTGGTTTACACTCTTGGAATTAAGAGGAAGCAATGAAAAGACAGAAGATCAAGTAAAATTATCCCAAACATCTGAAAAACAACTTAATCTCAGGCTCCAAGTAGATCTGGCTAGCATCTTCATCTATATCTGCTTCACTGAGCATGTCATTTTCATATTCATTTGAGCAGGCTTATCTCCATCTCAGCATTCTGTTAATAAGCCTTTCCTGTGTAAATAATGTCTGTATTTAACCCTGAACAACAATGGTCTTTTTTGAAGTTTGTAGACATGAAATCTTTCTACACTTTAGCTCTTTAAGCAGGTCAGAGGAACGAAAGGGAGAATGAAACTCAAACTCATTTTCCCTTATATTTATGAAAGTCACTTTGAGGAAAGAGGATATCAAAGTTAGTCACTAAAATGAAGATCTGGGTTTTATTTGTATTTCAGCAAGTCATTCTTTTTATGTCTGGATTTATTATAGGTAGTGAAAGAGAGCCTATCTAAACCCAGTCTTTATGCTCAGAAGAGTTGTTTCACTACAATGTAAATTAGTTTTTAAAATCCATCCTGTGAGCAAAATAGCCACGACCAATAGACATATGAGACAGCCCCTCTGGTTTTCAGTCAGTGAGAATACTTCGAACACAGTGGTGGCTTCAGATTTTGTCTAGTGATGAGTGGGAGGGCTATGAGGGAACTATGTTGAAATTACAAGCAAGCTTCCCTTTCACTGAAATCTATTTATATAGAATGGCTATGAGAGAGGTGCTGATGGAAAATATCATAGGCTAAATTTTCCCCAGCTCATTCCATGGGTCCACTACTGTCTACATACTTACACCTTTACACGTGTAAAGTTGCACACACATACAAAAAACCCCAAACAAACAAACAAACAAAAAAACCAGCAATAAGTAAGTGACACAGAGTAGCTGTTGCTACTCATATGGTACACAACATTTTCCAAACCCAAATTGGGCAATGGTTGACTACAATGATTGTCCTTAGGAAATGCTCTTCATTGTGACTATAGATCAGTGGAGAGAATGGTGGTAAACATGTGTTACGAAGGAAGAGAACTACTTTGAAAACAATAGGGTGGGTTGGGGGCTGCTTATGTTGGGTGATCAGAAGTAGACCTCTCTGAAGAGATGTGATTTAAACTGAGACTGGATTAACAAGAAGCCTGTAAGGGGAGCAACGTTCCAGGCAGGAGGAGCTGGCACTTGGCAGGACGTCCTGAATGGAGGGACGTGCTGGTCCTGCTGCCAGACAGTGTGAGTCCCAGCAATACTGCTGTTGTGGCTGAGTGACAAGGTTGCCTAATGAATCAGGATGTGTTTAAAATGCAATGCAAAGTCTTGAGCTGACTTCCACATGCCCTACCATAAAGGAGGCTTCATCTTATTTTTTTGTAATATATTTTTATTGATATCAGAGAGGGAGAGGGAGAGAGATATATAAACATCAATGAAGAGAGTCATTGATCAGCTGCCTCCTGCATGCCCCCCACTGGGGATCAAGCCCGCAACCTGGGCCTGTGTTCTGACTGGGAATTGAACTGTGACCTCCTGGTTCATAGGTCGATGCTCAACCACTGGGTAACACTGGCCAGGCAAGGAGGCCTCATCTTTATACAAACACTTCCCCTGTGGGGAAGGGCGCAACAGAATACTAGATGAGCTTGACGATAACTGCAGAGAGGTGGCCATATCCCTTGTGGCCCCTGGATGGAAGACATGCTTGGCAACTGGCTCAGGTTTGAAATCTTCTGCCTTTTAGAGATCTTTTGGCGCCAATGTGGGGCAGAATAAATTCTGGAGAGTAGCTGTTATGGAATGAATTGTGTCCCCTCAAAATTCACATGTTGAAATCCTAGCCCCCAGTACCTCAGAATGTAATTGTATTTAGAGATATGGTCTTTAAAGAGGTAATTAATGTAAAATGAGGTCTTATACATGGGCCCTAATCTAATACGAATGGTGTCTTTAAAAGAAGAGAAGATTAGGACACAGGTACAGAGAGGGAAGACATGTGAAGAGAGGAAAGCCATTGACTAGCCAAAGAGCGAGTCCTCAGAAGAAATCAACCCTCTCCACACCGTGATCTTGTACTTCTATCCTCCAGAATGGTGAGAAAGTGCATTTTTGTTTAAGCTATCTAGTCTGCAGTATTTATTACAGCAACCCTATCAACACAGTAGCAGACATCCATTTCTAGGATGGCTTCAGGAATTCAAATCTTGAACATTTGCTGTCTATTGTTTTGCCTACCCCATTATTGCTTATTTTATGAATATTACAGAAAACTTGAAGATACTGAGATGCACTGAATTGAAAATGTAGAGAGTAACTCACTAACGATAGTCAAGAAATAAACAGAATAATCAATTCTCTCATTTTCATCCCACTTTTTGCCTGGTCCTTAATACTATAGTATCTCTTATATCAGCTTAATCACCTCCAATGACAGACAATGGGAGAGAAGGCTGGGGATTCGGAGAGAGGCTGTGGCATTTCCACTCTTTTCCCCACAGCACTCGGGCGGGACTGAGTTCCAATGTGTATACACCTGCAGCCAGGTTGGGTGCTGACAGCTGGGCCCATGCTGAGTTGGGGCCCATGCCGCATCAGTGACTGTGTGTTCTGAGTGATCGTCAGATGGAGAATTGCTCATAGAGAGTACAGTTGTCTCTGAGAGGAGAGACTTTGTAATAGCCAGAGCAACAGGAAAGTTACCCATCTGCTCCAAATGTCATCAAGGAGTGAGGAAGTAAGAGCTGACAGCACCCAAAGGCAATGGTGAGGGAAACATGGATCTCTTTCTTTATTGTGCTCTACTGAGGCCAGCCTGTTGAACCGCATTGCTGTGGTAGGATCCAGAGAATTCTGTAACCTTACTGAAAACCTACTATGTGCTAGCCCTGAAATTACTATAAAGGATAAGACCAAATCTAGCCTGATTCACGCTTTTATGCAGTTCACAAACAAAGGATGACTTCTACATTTTTAAATGGTCAGAAAATAAAGAGGAAGAATATTCATGACACCTGAAAAGTATCTGAAATTCAAATTTCAGTGTCCACACATAAAGTCCCATTGGAACACAGCCATGGTAATTTGGGCACCTATGGTCTATGGCTGTTTTCCTGAGACAAGGAAAGACATGAAATATTTAGTGGGCCCTTTACAGAAAAGTTTGCTAGCCCCCATAGAAGACCATGACCTCTGATCCCAAAGGGTGTCAATCTAGCAAGAGAAAACCTCTTAGAAATAGTTCAATGACAAATTGTTTTTTTAATGATAGTCCTTACAGTGAATTGGTCTTAATCTTTCATAATGAACATTAATCAGATCAAATAATGTGAACTACTTTGAAGCATACTGGGAAAAACCATGTGTCGTAAATTATTAATCTCTATGGAATTCCCATTGTGCTATTCTATAGTTGTAGATATAAAAATCAGAATGGGCTATGTAATTGACTGGACCCCATGAAAAACCAAAATGCAGGCCTTGTTAAAAAATGATTAAGAATCTCAACATGGCAAAAGCAGAACTTTAAGGGCAGGGGCCTGTGTGTCACCCTGGTCCTATGCCCAAAAAGCTGGCCCTGGCAAGGATTATAGGAAGCTAGATTAAACGTGATGAAAATGAGGCAAGTCCTTTGAAGTAATTATTTACAAATTTTGTTAGGAAATGGTTTTATTATTTGCTTTAAAAATTTTTAATTATTTATTGTTGAAAGTATTATATATGTCTCCTTTTTCCCCCACTGACCTCTCCCCAGCTGCTCCCCCCACCCACCCCAGCACATGTCCCCACACTCCTACTGTCTGTGTCCTTTGGTTATGCTTATTTGCATGCATACACGTCCTTTGTTTGATCTCTTACCACCCCCTTTGCTTTCTTTCTTTTTTTTTAATCAGAAAGGACATGGATGAAAAATTCTGTGGAAAGAAGGCTCTAGTTAAATTAGGTCAGGTTACCTGAGGTTTTCATGGGACTTTGATTGAGGATGGCAAACAGATGTTTTCAAGTAGTTTTTTAAAAATATTTTTATTGATTTCAGAGAGGAAGAGAGAGATAGAAACATCAGTGATGAGAAAGAACAATTGATCAGCTGCCTCTTGCAGGTCCCACACTGGGGATCGAGCCCACAACCTGGGCATGTGCCCTGAATGAGAATCGAACGGTGACCTCCTGGTTCATAGTTCTATGCTCAACCACTGAGCCATGCAGGCCAAGCAATTTTTAAGTTTTAAAAATAGGATTTAGGCCAGATTTATTAAAACTGTTTCACCGGGAATTTTAAAAATTGAAATGTATTTTATATAAATATTGTGTAAGTTTAAGGTGTACAACATATTAATTTGATACATTTATATATTGCAATATGATTGCCATTGTAGCATTAGCTAACACCTCCATCATGTCACATAATTTTTTTTGTGTGTGATGAGAATACTTAAGACCTAGTCTGTTAGCAAATTTGATATTTACAATATAGTATTATTGTCCATCATCACTATACTGTGCACTAAATCTCTAGGACTTACTTATCTATTAGTTGCAAGTCACAGGCATATTATAATGTTGAAAGTAGTTTCTATAGAAAATATAATCTAAGTTTAGATTATTTCCCAAGATTACCCAATGTGGGTTTTTTTTAGAATAATTTATTTTTTTGCAAGAGAGGTAGAAGTCTAACTCAGGCATGACATTTTCTTTCTGAGTTAATGGTGTAGGGCACAAATGGCTTTCCTCCTGTGCCTATTCAAGGAAAAGTCTTGTGATCTAAACAAGGAACAACGTGCTGTTGTATCCATGGTAAGGGGATTAACAGCCTTGTGCTTGTAAGACAGCATCCCAGCTCCTATTTAGTCCTTTTGATTTCCAGAAACAAGAGCCTGATTCTTAGACCCCTTGGATGCACTTGGCCCTGTCTGGCGCCATTGATGAGAAATGGCAATGGAGCCAATTCTTGGAGAATCACCTTCAGTCCAGGGCTCCCCACACTTGAGGAAAGGCATTGGGCACTTGTACCTTTTTAGTGATTTGCTGAAAGAAGCCACTTATGTACGCATCAAAATCATTTCTTGGTAAAAACTTATTGGTCAAAATGATTATTGAAGTAAATTTAAAGAATTCCATCAGACCCATCTATATTTACAGTCTGAAAATGTAGAGTTTCTATTTAGCTGTGCTAATGGCATCTCAGTTTATTACATTAAAACACTCTTTAAAGGACATATTTAGGTCAGTAAGTGTTGGTTGATTAATTTATCCACTTGGGCAAACCTTAGAGCAATGGTTCTCAACCTGTTGGTCGCGACCCCTTTGGGGGTCGAACGACCCCTTTCACAGGGGCCGCCTAAGACCATCCTGCATATCAGATATTTACATGATGATTCCTAACAGTAGCAACATTACAGTTATGAAGTAGCAACGAAAATAATTTTATGGTTGGGTCACAACATAAGGAATTGTATTTAAAGGGCCAGAAGGTTGAGAACCACTGCCTTAGAGGCACTTCAGTATGGTCCCATTTGGAAGAAAGATCAGGGAAGAAGTCACCTTATTTATACACAATCTATTTATGGAAGGAATTTGTGTCTTTGGTTGTTAACCACTAAAGTCTATACCAGTGGTTGGCAAACTGCGGCTCGCGAGCCACATGCGGCTCTTTGACCCCTTGAGTGTGGCTCTTTCATAAAATACCACATGCAGGCGCGCATGTACAGTGCGATTGAAACTTTGTGGCCCATGAGCAGAAGTCGGTATTTTGTGGAAGAGGCACACTCAAGGGGCCAAAGAGCCACATGTGGCTCGTGAGCTGCAGTTTGCCGACCACTGGTCTATACAATCAGTCTTCATGTTACTTCCATTTTAGCACCAACTTTCCTCACATTTACATTTCCTCTTAGCTACCCCTATATACACTATGTTCAGGAATCTTTGTATACTACACAGTTATTTGTGTTACTATGTTGTCTGAATATCTCTGAGTGGGTAAAGTTCTGAGGAAACAATCTTCCTCCTTTCCTTTACCCCTTTTTTATTTTTGCAGTCCTGACCCAATTTACTTTCTCTTTGTCTCTCTTAGAATAATGTACACAGTGAGTAGAAACAAGAGAGTTCATTACTCCATTTTGCAATTCATTCATCCTCCCCTTCTTTTCAGTTACTGAGTGCCCACATTGGCCACAGGCCAAGAATACCAGGGCTCACAGTGTAGGGCAGATTTGGGCCTTGACCTCATGTCCCAGAGCCCAGAGAAGTTTTGTGTGGCAGATGACAACATCTTTGAAAGTCTCCCTAGTGACCCTCACCAGGGATGCTCTTTGCTTGGAGGCAATGAAGTTCAAATCTGGGCAGGGATGAGCAACCCTTCTGACAAAGGTGCCCTTTGCCCTCCCCACTGGCCTGAGTCTATTCTCAGACAGGGCATGGAGTCCTGTGAGCAGATTCTGACTTCAGGACTTATTGGCTTCCACTTGGGTTTCTCATCTTTTGGTGCCCTCAGGACACTGTGACTTTGGTCTTCAAGGGTCTTAGTGGCACTAAACACCTGCATCTGGCACTTATGAGCAGGGTCATGGAATCTAAATGCCCTTGCAGTAGGAAATCTTCCTAACCATCCCTAACTATATTGCCTAATCAGTGTTAGTTTTTAGTAAACATTTATGTCATATCTATAGTTCATTATATTGTACCCAGACAAGTTTTTCAATTACTCTTTAGCTCTTGCTAAAATATATCTATATATTAATTTATATGGACATATACATATGTTTTAATTTAGAATAATTTTAGATTTTAAGAGTTGTACAGAGAGTTCCTGTCTAATAATGGTTTCAACTGGGACAATTCTGTGTCCCATCCTCATCCTAGGACATTTGGAAACATATGAGGACATTGTTGGTTTTAAAACTGTGGTAGGTAAGGGAATATGATGAAAGAGAGGTGGTATTGTAATATAGTTGGTAGAGGCCAGGAATGATCAAAACTTCCTACAAGGAACAGGACAGCTGCCAACATGAGGACAGGTCCCAAATGTCAAAGTGCTGAGATTGAGAAACCCTGCTCTAGACTCTTCACCCAGCTTCTTTTAATGCTATTATCTTGCTGA